GTTGCTGAAGATGTTGTTCGGAAGGGAATTCGAGTGTAACCATCGAGAAACTACCCGATGAAGTCGGATCCGGACATTCGTCACGGACACTTCCACACCCTGGGAAAAGCCTGCAGGAAGGGTTTTAAAGGCCGTTTTTCGCCTGAGCATAAGCAGAGCAATGCTGACATCGTCGGTGTTGAGCGGCTTTGGCACTGCGGATTAAGCAGAACTTAAGTAACAAACCCATGAGAAAATGTTGAAGGCCATTGCGGATGTGAGCAATTCTGCTAGCATTTCCGGAAATGGTCGACCGGCTGGATAGTAAGCGTAAAATCTTGGATGTTGCCAATGCGTCAGCTGAAATGTCACGTTACTTCCACTTTGTCAGTGAATCCAGCAACAAAGGTTGAAGCGCAACAAGAAAACCAATAAAAAACTTTTGCAGCCGAGTGAAGTTAGCACTCTTTGTTTGCCTCACAATCAGTTTGGTATCCTCATGTGATGAAGCGAAGGGCTTGGAGCTCACGTCGTCACGGAAAGAAGAGCTATCACAGTTCTCTGCACTGCAAATTAGCTCAGGACATCATTCTCAGTGCGTAAGCCATTATATTCTACTGAGAACCGGGTGATGCGTGCGTGCGCCACTAACCAGGAAAGGCATTCAACTTCCCATGGAACTTTGAATTGAGACCCAGATATATCGATAGAGCTTCAAACGCTGATTACAAATATGGAAACTAAAACTGCAAAATGAACCTGCCAAGGAAGTTGTGAGCAGTCAAAGTTGGCTGGAAGTAAAGCATTGCACATAACCGTGCTGGGCTTTCAGAGTCGCCGCGGAGCAGTGGTGGTGCCCTCGCTCTTCACCCTGGAGGTCATAAGCTCTCCTCCCGTTGGAGTGCAAATTCCGAGAGCACTACCACTACTCCACGGCGACTTTGAAAGCCTGGAGGCTAGTGTAATGCTTTACTTCCAGCCAACTTTGACTGCTCACAACTTCCTTGGCAGGTTCATTTTGCAGTTTTAGTTTCCATATTTGTAATCAGCGTTTGAAGCTCTATCGATATATCTGGGTCTCATCTCAAAGTTCCATGGGAAGTTGAATGCCTTCCCTGGTAAGGGGGATCGTTCTGCTACTTTATTCAACATGTTCTTCGTAGAATGTAGGTAGCTTTCGGAAGCAGAAAAAATATGTGACCTTTAAGGTCTGCTGCTAGGACTCCGTTGGTAAGAAAATTAGCTGTTGTAGTACATCCTCAATTACGAATTGAGGTCATATGCCTGGCACATTCCAAATATGCTGTAGGAATCCTTCTGCTGTTAGGGTGAATTCAGCACATTCCAGGCTGCTAGAAATAAGAGTAGGAACATACGCCAGGTAAAATTTTTTTCTTGAGATCATTGCAGATAACCGGGAATGGTTCCGGATTTTCAGGAGGATAACGTGACATCGTTCGATAGAGAAATCCAGGGCTTGAATCTGAATTACGAAATTTGGAAGGGGTCATAGCCCATGAACGTTTTCGCTGCCTTACCTGTGGTGACATTGAACTGAGTGGGATCTTCATAATAGTCGATGGCGATACGAGAGAGACGGTGAAGATAGAACAAGAATTCCGGGGCAATGACGGGATTATCCAGCATCTGTACAGAATCACTTTAGCCTCACACTAGATTGCCTCAGCAAGCGAGGAACACCGAGTTGCTCGTTATGAGCATGCTCATGGTTAGAGGAATGTTTATTCCCTTTCTTGTCCCTTTATAGGCGGGTTTTCTGAAGAGATGATAGATTACTGGAAACTAGATAGATTTTGCAACCACCGAAACCATTCCTCCCTGCGTTAGCTTTACACCTTCCACTGTATTCCCTTCGACTTGTGAGACGAACCCCCTCGTAGAGAGGATGTTTATGTACAAAAGATTGGTTTCCGTTGAGCACCGCATTGATGCGACTCTCATCGTTTTGCCCTCTTCAACGGTAACGCCCTCTCTGCTATCTAATCACTTCTCGCGTGTGGAGCTGGGGGAGGCTATGCTAGATCGCCGGCCATCTTTCAATGCGAATTGCGTGTTGGTCTGCTCTTTTAAAGGGTCCACCTGTCTCTTCATTAGGTGAGTTTCCCCCTCTTCGACCTCCATTCTCATCGTTGAGTCTTTCTTCAGAAGGCCGTGTCAGCCGCACCACTCAGGCGACTCCTGAGGGCAGAGTCACTCTCCGTAGGTAAACAAACGCAGCGCCTTTTGGCGTTTCGGCTGGGACCGTATGCTGAATGTTGGGGAGGGGATGGGGTCCCCAACGGTCGACGGTTTACTTCAACTCGGTTGGTACGATAGGAGAGTACTGACGCAAGTGGTGCAGCTGGTCCAGCAGCTCCGCCAGAAGGGCTGGTTTGCTCACCCCAGGACTAAGCCTTGGAGAGGGGACGGACCCGTCCTCTCTTTAGGCTTAGTTCTGAGGTAAGCACCAAATTGTGGCGGTTCTAAGGACCGAGTTGAAGTGGTCCGTCCACCGTCGGGGACTCCATCCCCTCCCCAACATTCAGCATACGGTCCCAGCCGAAGCGCCAAAAGGGCTGGTTTGCTTACGATCGATCAACCGCTGTCGTTGGTCGCAGTTCGCCACGGCACGTTGAGAGATGTCCATCAACCACTGCGCTGTAAGTTGGGCGGAACGTCAGTTAACGGCTCGGCATGAGAGTGGTGACTGTCGCTGCGAGAGAACCGTTCTACGTATCGGTGTCGAAACTGCAACGCGTTGACTCGCCGTGGAGGGTCGACTGACCTCATTTGGGCGCGCGGATACGGTACCGCACCACCGGGTGTTGTTACCGACTATCTAATCACTCGCCGCAGGTCTATACGTGGCGAGTGATTAGATAGCAGAGAGAGCGTAGTGTTGAAGAGGGCACAGCGATGAGAGTCGCATCAATGCTCAAATCAACGGGCAAGGAAGGGGTCCCATTTCTCGGGTTCTGGGCCGTTTCTCATGGTTTTTCCTTCTTTCGTGTACCACTCACCATCCCTAACTTAATTTGAAATGGGTTGCTTTTTCATCGTAGGATCTACCTTTAAACATTATACCGCGGCGTTTCTTCGCTGTCCAACCCCTCTGACCGGTGCCCGTTTACACTACCAGCTGCATGCTGCGCGATAACTATTCATATAATCATTTCACCTTTATCATACGGAACTATTATGCAAGCGTCGTTCAATCATCTTATAAACCTATGAAAATCCAGAATAGGCTTGACTAATGGAGTTGGATATCATCAACTCAAAGGTGATATTGTGAATGGAGGTGCGGCATGAAGTCAAAATATTGAAGTAGTGTGGTGTGCATGATAGTAAGGTATATCGCAGAAAATAAGCAAGAAAAAAAGGGATGCAAATTGTCCATTCAGTAGAGGCATTTTAATTATTTTCAGTGTTCGAGCCATTGGCTATCACTGCATATCAAGGAGCATTCTCGTGGCGCACTAGACCTTCCGTGCACTCTACGCACCCTGAATTTCCGCATTTTCCGGGATTCGCGGCGCGAATTATCGCATGCATCCTCCATCCATCTCCTCCAAAGTAACGACAAGAAGCACATTGAAATGCATTAACTAATTCGAAACTAATTTAACTGCTAATTAAACACGCATCGATCTGCCCCTTTAAAATGAGGTAGCAAAAAATTGCGTTGCAAACAACGTCAGAGATACAAGAGATATACCAGAAATTTCCCTATACTTCTGCATCATTGACTCACCTCTTCCGGAGTGCGTCTTTTCGAAATCACTAGGGCCACTTCTTCCCAAGTCTCTTTCGAAACGTCCTTCTAAATATCTCGTAATAAGTAGTAATGCATACTGCAGAAAGAGCGGAGTTGAGCTTATGTCGCAGGATTCATGACAAGGAGATCGTTTGGCAGCCCACAAGGGGGGGGGGAAGGACGCAAGGGTAGGGATCGACACTGGATAGAGCGATGGAAGCCTCCTCAAGAGGAAATGAAGGCTGATGGGTTTCAAATGGAATTTGGGAAATTTTCTTCCATGAAAAGAATCTTCATACCCTCATTCATCGCCGTCAGCCCTGCAGAAGAGAATCTCCGTCCACTAAAATTTTATTGAACAAAAATCGGTGCTATACAAGTAGGGTGGGCACGCCGCATTTTTTGAACAGAAATGTATGTAAGTGGGACTGCTGCCCGCTACTATACTGTCACGAGAATCGGGGAATTCGTGAGCCAGGGGAGTGTAGCCAATCTAGGGGGGGGGGTGAGGGCAGTCACTTGACATGCGTGAAAAGCTGGGCGTGCCCACCCACATAAGCCCCAAAAATTGCCTTGCTGATATCTGCTACTGCGCCATCTCCCGCGCGGTCGCGAATGGAATTTTAATTCACCTGTGAACGGAACCTGTAACACGCAAGCTCGAATGCGCAAATGGTCATAAGCGGTTCTCACAATCGTGAATTCCAACATCACTTAAATGCGCTTCCGATCCTATCCAATATGTGAAGGTCCGAGTGTTGTTGTAGTCACAGATCAAGGCTCGATCCCCAAGACAAATGCTTCCGGTAAATTGTTTCATGACAGGCAAAAATTTTCGGGGGGCGGGATGGCAGGAAGTAATCCTTTGTTCATCGCGAGAAAAGTTTTTTGCAATAAACCTTGTGAACTTATGCCGTCCCTAGTAGAAGCGTTGCATGGATCGTTTACATTCCGGAAAGAGCAAATCCTGTGCCCCAAAAGTCTCTTTTCTTTCAAATGTAAACTGCTTCTGGGAGAGGTCATTGCTACGGATTTGACAACTCGATGGTAAACTTTTTCGCGTTGCTTGAACAGTTTTCTTTGTGAAAGAGGCGTTCTTTTGTGTCGTGAAGCGAGGTAAGTTCTATAATCCCAAATAAGAACTTTTTCGAAGGTCTGCTTGTTTTTTGCAGTTCCTCCAATGACAAGATTCTATTTCTGAACCAATCATTTTAGGCTCAATAGACATAGAAAGAGCAAATCTATCAATTTACAGCATTTGTTTCATTTTCAAAACAGATCGCCTTTGCAGAAACCTATGCCGGCGCAATGTGCACTTCATGTTAAAAGCGCCCAAATATAAGTCTAATATACTTTAGGAAGAATTATTCTAGAAAATTTCCAAATACTCTAATTCATTTTTATAATCAGCTTTTTTTTGTTTCGAAGAAAGTTATGGACGTTTGGGAAGAGGTACGAAGTGAATCTGGGATTTGAACTGATGGCTATCACGCTTGCAACTGACCGTTGGGATGTAAAGTTAACGATAGTACTGAAAAAGCGGGAAGAAACCATTGATAAGAACAAAAATGATCCCCTCCACAGTTACGGCGGATCAAAACAGCATTGATTTGTAGGTGATATCAATGGTACTGGAGGGGGTATTGCCGCATCCTAAAAGCCCTGCGCCTGGGCCTTGTCAAGTCATCCCGAACTTGTGTACGTGCTCCCAGCTTGCGCACCACTGCATTTTTCTCGGAGCAAGGCTTACTATCGTCCAGATAACCCGGATGTTTGCCCTCAAGTTTCTTGCTGCACCTACTACACTCTCATCTTTGATATATAGGGGGGGCCAAAAAAAAAGACATTTTGCCTCCACTTCCAGATGGATTTAAGCACATTTTACTCAACTCAGACCGAACGGTTCCAACTTATTATTAAAGAGTGCATTCCATTCTATAAGAAAATCTTCATAGTGGCCACGTACGTGGACGGCATCAGAAGAATTAGCCCTGGAAACATGGTGCACTGGTCGATCTCAATGGGGTCTTCGAAGGATCGTGTACCATAACGACCCTTACTGGAAAGCTAGTTCCGAGGGGATTTGCACAGTGGTAGCTAATGCCTCTAGAAAACTATCCAACATTAAATCGATTCACGAAATTGCGTAAGAGCTTCAGGCTGAAGCTCTTACGGTAGACCTCCTTGAGCCTGACGACGGTGACAGATGACGTCATATTCTGAAGACGGTGAGGGCAGTGAAGGAGAGGCCTGCGTTCACTTATAGAGGGACACTTAGGGAATACTCTGCTGAGGAACTCCCGTCAACGACAGCAATCTCTGCGAAGAAAAAAGAGCCGAAGTCCGACATAGGCAAAATGTCTTTTTTTTTGCCCCCCCCCCTGTATATAAATTAAGGCTTCCCTTAATGTACCTTTCCATGCAGGAAAGAAGTTGCACCTAATGACATAGCGACCCATGTCGGTTTTGGAAGGGGTTGAGAGGTTTAGGCTCAACTCTGAAAAAAGCACAGTAAACTCACATTGACGTCATGATACGGTTCTGACCGTAACCTATTTCTTTCCTCTCCCATTTCCTTGCCGGAGTCGCCCTCTTTAGGCGCTTTTGATGACCTATCTTCGTCCTTGTCCCTTGACCTACTCTTTTGCGCCGTCCCTTCTACGCGACGGGACGAGTTCCAAACACTCCTTGTCCGCGAGCTGAGCACTGGAATGATGAGTTTTTGGAACCGTATAAGCAATCGCCCCTTTAGAATTGGCTATTGTGGCCATAATTTTACGCAATGCGAACCTCTTTTGCGGTAATCCATACACGCCTTCACCATGATAGCCAAAGCGATTACAGCCAGGAGAGCAATTATCAGCGCGAGATATCCAGGTATAGGCACACCCTCAGGCTTTTCTTTTTCCTATGCGAGTTGAAGCTCTATTTGGTTACAAGAAACGGTCGTACAAAGCTGTGTGTCAAACTTCACTTACCGCCACAGGGACGAGAGTTGCGTTTGGACTGCCTTCTGACGAAACCTCAAATGATAATATCATTATCACCTTGGAAATGGAAGCTGTTTTTCATGGCGTACACTTGGCTGTATTCATTATGAAATTGTTTACGTGGTGCAACTTATTAGATTTTTGACACAAAAATATCCATTCGATCATGATAAGGGATTGGATTTGCTAACATCATCTATGCTCATGTCAGCTATTCCCTTACGTCATTGCCATGCTCATGGAAGGCTCGTAATAAGTACAAAGGATGAATCTTCGGTACCCTTGGTAGGTCTGTCGTCGGTACCAGTTTCGGAACCCTTCCACGGTCCTAGTGCGCTTCGTTTCACAAACTATGGCCTCGCTTGGATGACGCCTTTCTGTTTTTTTTTTTCAATTCAGCGAGAATCGTCTCCATTTTTCGGTAGTACTGCTTGAGAAAAGGTGAAAACGTCGTCTTTGAAAGTTCAAGAGTGAGCATCCATTTCACACGGACATCCGCCGTTCTTGAGCGACATCTGGGACCTCGTTGTCCACTGCAGCTGATAACAAGCTTGCATGATGTCCGTTGTGGTTGTTTTCATATCTCTCAAACATATCTACTGGCTTTGGTTCAAACTGTATTCGAACCTAGTGGGTGTCATCGGTCCCCGACATTGCCTTACCACTGCCGCCACTTTTGATTCAAAACCGGGGTAGCCTACGCGTCTATGGATTACCTGGAATTCGCATTCCACTCAGCTAACAGTGAAATGCACTGTTTGAACTGGAAATATTCATTTGGCGGTTGGGTACGAAGTCAACCTACGAAGTCCGTGGACATTTCGAAATAATAGTAACATGGTAAAAGACGAGCACTTGTATGAATCGAGAATCTCCCTGAAACAAAAATTCACCGTAGTCTTCTTGTGAAGGTTAAGAATGAATGTGTATATCGTTCCAACTTCGTCTGAATCCCTGTAGCTCCTTATTTCCCCATATTTGTATTTTTGCAAAAGTCGCTGTAAACAAGTTATATAATTATTTTCGAGAATCTTGGTGAAATAGAAGTAAGCCTTGAAGGTTCTGGTCTATTGATGCTGGTAAAATTGTTAAACTTCTAATGGGAGGCGATGAAGGTTTCAAAGGGCTTCTGTATTACCACGCAATGCAGCACCATCAAGCAGTTCGTCGGAGCGGAATAGTGATTGCTTCTCAAGGTAAAGTTATAGTATTGTCCTTCCGAAGGTGATATGTTTAATGTGGCGAATCAAAGATGGAACACTGAGTTGTCAAAATAATCACCCAGAATATACATCAAAAATTCCAGGTGTATAAAAGTGAAGTTTGGCTGTGGCAACCTCTTCGTAACCATAATTTTTTGCCATACTGTATATAGCGAACCAAATGCATCTTTACTAACGCGACCTGCTTCCAGGTCAATTTTGAGCTGGAAGAAGGTAATCGTGCAAACTCGTTCATTTAGCATGTGGTACTCGAAGCTTTGAAGCTGTCACAAAAATATTCTACTCGCAAAGCTGTTACACAGGACAAGAAAAGGGCTTCCCAACATCTTTATAATGGTGGCAGTTCGCTTGTTTGAAAGAAAATGAAGCATTTGCAGAGCGAGTAGAGCGTCAAAAATATATAGAACTTTTTGAAAGACCCCTTGATTAAAATTATCGTCTACAGAAGACCAAACACTTTTCTCCACGAGTAACATTCTTGGATCTCACAATGCACAGCTTGACTCGTTCTTTTTTCTTGATTGTTTCCAAAAAAATTTTTGGAGATTGGTTTCCAAAAATCGGAAATCGCAGATTATCACGACGTTGTTAATGTGACAGTCGGTGATAGCGGAACGTATGAGTGTGGTATCGTGAACGCAGGAGAAAGCAGAGTACTGCTTGATGGTGGCAGCGGCACATTTGTATAAGTACATAGTCCTGGGAATCAGCTTGAAGAATTGAGGGTCATCGAGCGTGTATGCCTAACCCAGGCGTCCAGCTTAGCACCGTGTTGTCTGCGTAGTGCACGCTCTCGTTAGAAACACTCAGAACATGTAGCAAAAGCAGCTACAGTAATCAAATCAGAAGTCTTCGATTGTTGTGAGTCACCGATCGGCTTATCACCGTTCGGATCTATCTTAATGCACATTTGCCGTAGGCTTAGCTTGAAAATGAAAACCTCTCAAAACATAAGACTTTATCTCTTGTGAGGGTTTAGATTTAGCTTGAAAGAGAGGGAATCTCTCAAAATATAAGGTTTTTATCTCCTGTAAAATCAAATTTTTCAGATTATGTTTGCTCTGCGCGCCGATAGCTGCATAAATGAGAGGTGATTTCAATCTGGGGTCAGCTTTTCGCCCCAGCTTCAAGTCCTATTCGTCTCGGTCAACGGCCACGATTGGACTCGCAATATCTGGCTCAATATTCTGTGGCAATATCGCATCAGGACTTTCGATTCGGCTGATCAATAACAGTGGGATTCTTTGGAAATAACTTCATTATATAAACCAGAAGTTTGGTGTGTCGGTTTGTTTGTGTGTATGCACGTCTGTCTGTCCGTCCGCAAAATGGTCGACTAGAGGCGAAAGATATCGTGATTGTGATAACATTTCCCACCAGTATATAAACAACCATTCCAGTGAAGGTCGAATTCATTTCAGGAGGGTGGCTGTTGGCTGTGTGAGTTGAGTCGGTCTATGGAGGATCACCGCGCGACGTCGTACATACGTGCGGCATGCCGCGTGCCGGAAGACCGTGCGACGAATTTGAGCGAGATTTACGCATCTTGATGCTTCGCGCGTCATGTGCATTCGTCAGCTACTTTTCTATCCTCCTTCTCTTTCATTATTGAATATTTTTCTTCCAATATTTCTTGATTTTTGCTTTTCTTCATTATTCTTTTCTTCCCTTCGTTTGACATTGAGCTTGATCCAAGCGTTCGCGTTGACACTAGAGCGTTCTTATTTACAAGTGTTGTGTGGGGTGGTACCGGGCATTGTTTGTGGGTGAAGAGGGATTATAACAACTGATAAGGAAGGGCTGTTAGGGCGCCTTCACACGCTAAGGTCCCCATTCAGTTGCGCAGGTGGCGTTGACACTTGAGCGTTCATTTTTGCAAGTGTTAGTGAGGTGGTACCTGGACGACATTGGTGGGTAACAGCAATGATGGCACTGATAGAGGCTGAAGAGGAGTCGTGAAAGGCAAAAGTCGTCAATTCTGCTGCGCAGTGCACGTTGGTACTAGGGTCTTCTTACTCACAAGTGTTATGTGGGATGTGACGTGGACATTCTATCGATATAACCAGTTTAGCTTGAGCAGATTCTTGGCGAGTGATACGTTTCATTCTTGATCTAACACCAAGAGGGCCATAACTCATTTGGTGACCGCTAAACTTTAAGGATTTATTGAGCCCTTTTTACAATTTTGAGGTTAAACAGCGATGATTCTCCTTCAACGAGCTGAAATTATCAAGAATTAGTCAGAGGATGTCTGAAGTGTTTACAGGGCTATGTGTGTAAATATACAGCCTTCAGCTTCGTACGCCTATCTATGTCGTCTCATAGAAAAGACTCAGATGATACCGAGAGGCCTGCGTAACCTTAGTCGTGATGCGCGCGATATCGGGCGGAGCAAAGCTGGTAAATAAATATTCAATAAGTTGCCTGTGCTCTAATAACTTTGAAGGCAACACCGCGTGGCTACTCGAAGAGTATTTTGGCGAGCAACCCTTTATTCTAAAATACGATAGAACATATATATGGAAGTAGTGGCGGTTAACGCTATGGCTATGAGGCAAATGGACAGATCTGAGTAATGAGAAATGCTTCAACTCAAGATTTCCAGCACTTGTGGTTGCTAAAACAAACATGGTGTGAACTCTGGGTAATACCCCCACCCCACAGATCCTACATTAATCCTAAGAGCGCAGACTTTGTGAAATGACTGAGTGTGTGTTATCACAACCATGACATCACTTGGAATGATAACTCAACATTGTCCCCCTCTGGCACGAAATTCGGTACTACCTGAAAACCTGCCTGAAGAATTTCAATTTTGGGATGCGTGATGAATGGGTCAAGAAGCATAAACACCTGTCAGCTGGGCGAAGCTCTTTCCACAGTAGAGGGTGCGGTAAAACTCCCGGCGGTAAAACTTTCAAGTTCTTCATAGAACAAGCCAAAGACCAAGAAAAATGAAAGTGGCGGGGATATTTCTGACTCGATTACGGGTGCGTGACGATTCAATCGTGGAGATGGCTAGGTCGCCGCGCCAGCCGCCGCAGCCCGCGATGCGACGTCGGCCGTGGCTAGAATTTAGGGTTTCTAGCATTGGGGAATGTAGGATTAGATGAAGTTTCCAGTCGTGAAACACGGTATATGATAACCTGCTCCCTTAAAGTACAGGTTCCCTGTACCCTTGCCATTATTTACAAACTTATTCTGCCATATTAATGTTATTGCCTTCCTCACCGTTCCACTGCGTTTTGGAACGTAATATTTTTCCGATTGAGCCAGATTATCGCTCTCTGATAATAGTTCAGGCAGTTGATTAATGAAGAAGTCAATTGTGTTCAAAAGGACAACTTTACATGGCACAAGCTCTGTACAGTGAGGCTTAAATAACTGCAGGAGATCTTAAGGTGACACTTGTTGGTTCACTGATGTCTGGAAACTTTGGCCTTACCAGTTTTCTAACCTCACAAGCAACTTATGAACAAGAGCCCTTAAGCCCAGTGCCCATTCAAACCGCCGCACCAGTCCACCGGCATTCGGTGCGGCGACGGTGCCCGCCGCGTGAGCGTGTGACCTCATTGGCTGGCCATTGAATTGACCGTCTCCCGAAAGTTTGT